TAGGACTCCACACAGTCTTAACCATTCTCCACTCCATACCCATCTTCTCTCTCCTCTTGACCAGTATGTTTTGTTGAGTGTTGTCTCCTACATACATATCTGCTCATTAAGACTTTAAGTCACTCTAACCCGTCAACTCTCTGCTTCTGATTACACGGGAAAGGCGTGTGTTCCTGGCGTGTCTGTACTGCTTGGTGTCTACTTATTCCTTAATACACTCTGAGATTCAAAGCTGATCGAAGGCTTCACTCAGAGGGATTTCAACAGGGCCCTACAGGCTCTTGCTACATTGGGACCGAGGGGTGCTCTTTATTTAATTCTGGACAATGAAAGGCAAAAAGAGCAGTGATCTCTGCCAGTGGATGGATGTTGTATATCTCTTTTCTTCCTTTCCTTCGTCCATCTCAGGTTAGGTTGCCCTCACATAGCTCCGTTGATTCTAGCACTGAATCACGTAGCCCTTGTTAAGCAGGGGTCCTTGGGAAGGCTGGGGTGACTTTCAGGGGACAGACCTCAGCCTTGATGTCTGGAAATGTAAGCAACACGTGGTCCCTAGGATCACAGTTCTGTAGGCTCCTTTCCAATGGCCTGAGGGTCAATGCCAAAAATCTCAGCCTGTTTAACGACTATAGCTACAAAGAGCTCAAACCCCCACCTCAGCCACAAGTCCTGTCGGCCCCACGAGCAGCTGTCACACCACTCAGTTCTTGCTCAGAGTCCGACGGAAGCTCAGTGCTTGACAACGACCCCGTGCCCTCGCCTCCAGAGCCTCCTCCTGGGCAGCACCTTCCCCAGGGTGTTTCAGGGTGACAGTCTCTCCGTCCCTTCCTTATGTCTCTCTCCACTTCCTTAGCATCTTTGCATTTCTGTGCAACAGTTTCACCACCTTTTTTGCCTCTTCTATGTTCCTCCTTAATTACAGAATGCAGTTGAAATACAGTTCAGCCTTTGCTCAGTTGAATTTGATGTACCTTGTTCTTATATTAGGTCAGTCACTTCCCTGAGGCCCAGACCCGCATCTCTGCCCATTGCCTGTGCTCCCTCCCCAGTACACACCAGGCACCCTTTCCCCTAACAACGCAACTTGTCTACAGCAGAACTCACTGTCTTTTCCCCCTGGGTCCACCACCTCCTGCTCTCCTGGTGCTGTCCCAAGTTCCCCACCTCTCTCAGCCTTCAAGGTCTGAGGTATGAGGCTGGGCTTCACTTTTCCTATTCACTTTCGCTGTCTTGGCTCTAGTGTGAACCCAGCACCATCCCTCAGACGCACCTTGCCCACCGTCAGGACACCACCAACACACACCATATTTAACATTTTTTATTAGTCATCCTCTGATTTTACATGAAAGTACACCTATTTGGCTTCTTAAGAAAAATAGCCATGGTAACTGCTGCCCTTACAGAAACAGGGGACCAGGCAATGGTGGCACTGAGCCCCTCATGGTGACAACCTGTGAGAGCTGAGCATTGGCTAGTCCTTTGCAAGAAATGCCACTCTTCAGTTTATAGCCAGCGTGAGCGAAAGGAGGTGCCAGGGGGTGCGCAGGGAGGACCAATCTACAGGGGGTGCATGGGGACGACCAATGTCCACCAAGGGCAGTGCCTGACTGTGCTGAAATAGTTACCAGTCCGATCAGAATGTGCTCTCCAGAGGTAGGAGCACTGATCGGAAGGGCCCTAAGAGAACCTGCTAAGAAACAGGGAATTTTCTATACCGTGATCTGAGTTGTAACTATAATCATGTTTCTACATGTTAAAAGAAAATGATTGATTGTACACTTAAGATGCCCTTAAGCATTAGGCCTTATTTTCAGGGGAAAAATCCCAATTTTCTCTATGTACATTACATATTGTATTATTATAGCATGAGGAGAAACGTTGGTAGGGTGCCTGCCTTGGTACGTAGCACGTAGTACGTGTTTGCAAAGTGGCTACTATTGGGCACGATGGTGCACACCTGTAATGCTAGCACTCAAGAGGGCGAGATAGGAGAACTGTCACGAGCTCTAGGCCAGCCTGGGCTATTTAGTGAGTCAGCTGAATTACAAAGCAAGACTTGGCTCAAAAAAAAAAAAAAAAAA